GACTTTCATTGATTTTTAAGGTTTGGTCAACATGTGGACTTTTGGACCATTAAAGGGGTAAAATGGTCTTTTAGCCTTCTGAGAGATCATGGGAAGGGATTAGTCTAGCCTTGAGAGCCATTATTGATTTGAGATAATTAATTTATGTAATTAGGCAGGGGCTAGATCAGTATTTCAATTTTGAGACTTTCCGAGATTTCCCGAGGTGAGTCTTTTCACTATACATTACTTAGAGTGGTATCTATGTGCAGAACGGAGGGTCTTACGTGTTATGTGCTTGCTTGAGATTATGTGCTTTGTGATTTATGTATGCTATGTGATATTAGACCGGACCGGAGGGTCCAACGACTTACGACGCCAGAGGGTCCTCAATCAGATCGGACCGGAGGGTCCAACGATTTTGACCGGACCAGAGGGTCCAACGAGCTACAGGACTGGAGGGTCCCGCTGAGAAACATTGACCGGAGGTTCTTACCGAGTTATAGCCTCGAGTGGCTTATGTGTTGTATGTGGTATCTTGGGGAACTCACTAAGCATTTATGCTTATTGTGTTATGTGATATGTGTTTCAGGTACAAGCGAGAATTGCGGGAAGGCGCCAGCATGATCTGTACACACTGATAGAGTATTATGCATTATGTAATTGAGATTATGAGATATGTTTCTACTGAGATAACTTTTGATACATTTGATGTTTTGAGTTTACTTTATGAGATATGTTATGTTTTAAAAATGAAAAATTGTTTTGAAAATTCACGACGTTACACGAGGCCCACAAATGTGAAGTCCATTTATATATTGGGCCACAAGGCCCAATAGACCCAACTATTCCAATATTGGCCCAAGATACATTCAGATCAAACAAACCGCAAGTCCAAGCCCAAAACCATTATGGCCCAAAGGTCCGAAGTTCACTACGGCCCAAGTCCTCCTGAGAGCGTACGCCTAGCATACCTCTTCTATACGCTTAGTGTACTGAGCAAATTGACTTTATGCGCAGCGTACTATATAGTATGACCAGCGTACAAACAACTCATGCACAACATCCATTAAGTGCTTAATACTTGATCTAACAAGTCTAAATCACAGATCTGAGCTATACTTCACGTCTAAACCCATAAAGTCACCGACTTGGTGACTTTGCATGCCCCAAACAAACCCGCACTCCAAAAATGACATTCTACTTCCATAAAAGTGACCTTAACTCAAGCATGAACCCATTAAGACCATCAAGATGGCAACTTTCTGCCTTAGGGACTCAAATAGCATCAAGGGTGTCAATCTCAAGCGTAAAAACGAATTTGGAACCATAAAGCTCCATTCTTGGGACCAAAAGATCCAAAAACTCAACATAACAGATCTAAACATTCAATGGTCAAGTTCAGAGCTTTATACCTTCATCAAGCTGAAAATGAATCACAAAATCCATATCCATAAGCTTCTTCTTGATCTCCAACTGTGTATCTAACTCCACCTTCTTGAAAATGAGCCAAACACTCCAAAAATGGACTCCATAAGCTCAAAATGCCACCATGAGTGGTATAATACGATTTCTAGGGTTTACAGGGGTGGAGGCTGAAGATATTAGGGTTAGGATAAGAGATAAGGAGTTTAAATAGGGTCCAAGACCCTAAAATATGGTTCTGATCTGACTCGAGTACGCCTAACGTACTCGGGGGAACATTCGTGATCCTCTTGGTCAGTACACCCAACGTACTCCAGGGTACGCCCGGCGTACTACTCTCTTTGCTAGTACACCCAACGTACACTTTGAGTACATCATGTGTACTCGGCTAAGCCTAAAAACCACGAAACTTCCGAAAGCCATAACCTCTTCGTTATAAACTTGATTCTGACAATCCTTATATCCATAGAAAGGTGACAAGAAGCCCTACACTTCTAACAACTCAAACCTTTCTTAATACCTTCCGAACAAAAATCCATTTTCCAAAAAAAACCCGAACTACCACTTTACCGAAATACCCATAGTCTCCGAAACACAAACCAAGCACCCGGATCACTTCTAATACATTACCCACACCCAAAAAGGCCTAGATCTCACCTTCCTAAGAGTCATAATCCCTATAATGATCGACCTTCGAGCCACCACCTCGGACTAGGAGTCAGTTCGGAACAAAGCATTACAAAAACCAAAGATTATCAAATATAAAAAATCATTCTAACATATAAAAGATGGATCTGATACCACTATTGGGTTTTCATACGAAGTATAAGTTTGTTTTTCACAAGAATCGGCAAGGGAAGACTTTAAAAATAAAAAGTTTATTTTTAGTTCATAACAAAACCAAAGCATCATGGATCCATTTATAGAGGTTAGAATGAAGTATAAACAACCATAGAATGTTTTAGAGATAACCTTTGAAGCCTTTGAACCCACTTGGTTTTGAGGTGTTGATGAAGATATAAATTTTAGATCAAAGAACATGATCTTCTCTACAAGTATCCACCATCAAGATTAAGGCACTTGGAATGCTAGTTCCTTCTTATATTCTTGGGTGTCTTAAGCCTTTAAGTGCTTAATTCAAATAATAACTAAAGGAGACAACTCAAGAGGTCTTCTAATCACCAAACTAGTTTCAGAAGAAAGAGAGAGAGAGAGAGAGAGAGAGAGAGAGAGAGAGAGAGAGAGAGAGAGTAGAAGAGAGTTTCGGCCATATGGAATAATGGAGACAATTCACTAGAAAAACTAACTTCAAACTCATGCAAGACCCTTCTTTAAATACCCAATGAAAAAGTAAAAGCAACACCATATAATAATATAAAGTATTTACAAGATTTTAGGAGCATGGAGAACATGGGAGGAAGGTTGACAAGCAACATCCCATGCTTGTCCAAACTTTCGGCCAAGGAGTGAAAGACAGAGACAAAACTTGTCTTCTAACTTCATTATGCTACAAAAGAATTAGTTTAAATTTTATAAACTTAAAGTTTATAAAATATAAACTTTGTTTTTAGATAAAATACAAAAATGATTCAACTGGTCCAAAAAGTTGTGCATAACTTATTAATTCATATCATATGAAATAATAACTAAGTATACTCTCTTATAATTATTAATTTCATATGTCAATAATTATAACCTAATTATAATACACGAATTAATATTATTTATTAATAATCATATTAATAATAGACATAACAAATGATTATTGGGCATATAGATTCAACATTAAGTTAGTTGTTTTTGCTTTTAATTTTATATATATATATATATATATATATATATATATATATATATATATATATATATATATATATATAAAGTTAAAGTATGTTGCTAGTATTAGTTATTTATAGTATTTTTTTTTCGAATTGAAAATAGGTTGCTATTTGTTGATATATATATATATATATATATATATATATATATATATATATATATATATATATATATATATATATATATATATATATATTTGAAAGTATATCGCTTTAAATGAATGATATGTTGCTCATATCAATAAATTATAAGTTTTTTTTAGGTTAATTGTACATCGCCTTTTATTGAATATATGATTTGATGTTTAATTATGTGTAAACTTAATTATTGTTGCTTTGTAGGTTTTTGTTATCTTATTCATGAGCACATAAAATTAAAGTTGAGTTTAAGGCGGAACATGAAGAAATTGAGTTCCAAAAACAAAAAATTATCAAGATCTACATCGACATCCTAAAACTCATCCAAGGAAGTAGCCTACCCACCTAAATAGACTTTGACACTTGATTTTTGTGATTTATTTTTCAATACTTAGAAATTTGTTTAGACTTTGACAATTTAGTGATGATTTGATTCTTTGAGAAATCAAATATGAATCTTTATTTTGCTAGTTGAATATTAATATTTAAATTAATAGTTGAATTTTAATTTTCTTATGTATAAAAGTCAAATTTCATTTTGTAAATTATGGCCAGCAAAACTAATTATAAACAGCATTAGCGACGAAAATTATGGATGGATTTCTGACGGATCCAAATTGTGATACTTAGCGACCGATCACACCAATGGTTATAGCGACGGATTAGCAGCGGAATCAAGAGATCCCTTGAGCTTTGTGCTGTCGCAATCCTTACAAATATGTAGTTAAATCCGTCGATATATCTATCACTATCAATTAAGGACAAGGGTTTTTTTCGACGGACAACTCCGTCGCTCGAAAACTTTAATGGAATTAGCGTTGAAATTGTCCGCCGTAACTCTGTTTCGAGACGTGAGAATTGTTCCCCGCCACCATCGTCTACTGTGAAAACGTCAATGTCGCTTACATGTTGGCCGACACAATCCAACATCAACGCTAATAAAATTGTTTTGGCCCCAACTCAAATTGTTCGGCTCTGAATATATAGATAGTTTCGCCAAAGATCTCTCGTCTTCTCTATTTCATGAGTTCCGGTAAGTTTTAACAGCTGGAGAAAATTCCTGATAAATAAAGCTACAGAACGATGTTAAGATATATATTAACTTATAGTATTTATGTTTAAGCTCCCAATATATAAATAGGATGTTAACATTTAACATAGACTTTATATCTATGTTTAGTGCAAGTGTGCAACACTTTCGATCGATCATGTGTATCATCCCTATTGTAATGTGTATAATTGGAAGGCATCTATTCATTGGAAAAATACTCTCCAACAGAGAAGTTCATCAAGAGCCTCGATAAAAGTTTTTTCGACAGCCATTCGAGCTACCTTTAGGGTGCTCTTATTGAGCATCATTAAATTGTAATAAAAAAACTTAGCTTTTCAAAACGAATACAAGAGTTTAAACAAGTTATTTCTTTGTGCATGATGTCTGTAGTACTCTGTCAGCTCTTCGGCTTGTTTCTACAGAGGATATTTTTTTATTGGTAAAGACTATTTTCCATGTCGCAACACTATATCCAATAAATGGTTTTCAATGAAATCCCCAACTTTTCAACGGACAATGGATAAAAATTGCCGGGTTCATGTTTTAGCCTACATAAAGCCCAAAATGAACACACTAAAACATCGTAACCAAATTCATCATATATAGTTGGAAATACTTAAGGACAACATGAACCATCCCGACATGTTATATATCGAACTCATAAACTTAATCTACATAGTCATCAATGTGTATATGATGAACGTATGAAACCAGATGATCAGTCGTTTAAAACCTGATCAGCTCCTCGCACTGACAACCCTCTCTCTCTCTCTCTCTGAAAACAAGGAAATTAAGAAACAAAGATGACCAGAGTGATCTGGTGATCTGATGATCAAATGAAGAACAAGTGCCTTCTCTTGCAGCCATAGATCATGGGTGTCCAGCTTGAACTAGTTGACCTATGTATGCCAGGTGCCATGTGAGCACCACCATTGTCGAGCAGTTCAACGTCGACGAGTATGTGCTCAGTTTCTTTAGTTTCTCTGATGATACAGTACTTTTTGTTCCACTGTCCTCCTTTATCTTCTTTATCTATTCAAACACCCAATCAAGAAAAAACCCACGTTAGAATAACCTTTCTATGGATCAAGAAACTAGAAATAAGATACTTTAAAATATATAGATGCATCTTACCTTTGTTGCTCTAGGCTCCAAAAACATCATATTGATCAAATTCATAAGAAGCGCAGAGAGGAGATTGAATCCTTGAAATACCGCCATCTTGTTGGACAAAAAGAACAAATTTCTCCCGAGGCTTACCAGATACCCGATAAGAGCTGCCCAGATACAATACGACATTGCCCTGAAATACACCATGTACAACTTATTTATGATCATTCCGTACTGTCGCTTAGGTAGACACTTGCCCAAAACAGAGCTTGAAAAGAACGTAACCCACACTCCCATCCCGTAAGCTGTCGAGAACCCTAATAAGTGACACCAACTGATCACTGATTGCATCTTGTCTATTAAAACTGTCGCCATACTGGTAGATCTTGTTAGAAGATCATTCCAACTACTTTCTTGTACAGTTTTCACAGTTTCTTTCACTTCTTCCACCCCTTCTTCAACTTTCCGGGTAGCGTTACTTCCAATATCTTCCCCTATTCGCTTTGGTGAATCGACAAGATCCCATTGTTCCACTTTAAGTACCGAGTCTTTAAGCGTTCCTTTTGTGCCTTCCCCAAAGGTAAACAGACCTAGTGGTTTCCCCACAGCATTTTTCACGATTCCAGCCACATCCTTGGCCTTTTCTCCGACTGCTTTAAACTTTTCCGATAGTTTTTCCGATAATTTGACTTTAGGATCACCAACTTTCACCACTTCATCCGTTACTTCTTTCACCTGCTCTTCGAGTTTATGAAGCTTGCTTGAAACATCAATGCGTTTACCAGAAACAACGTTTTTCGTCTTCTCGATTACGTTCGCAAGATTATATCTGCATTTGCCGAAGAGCTCTCTCGACCCAGCTGCGAAGCCACCGGCGTCGATCCTGGCATCGTCGTCGTGTTGTGAAATCGAAACTTTGGTGTTCCCGTCGGGTTCTTCATCGAATTCGACGACAAATCGGTGGTGGTGAGGAGGTGGAGATGGAGACCAGGTCGCTCCAGTTACCAGCGACGTTAGAACAAGACAAAGAAACACAAGATGCATCGTCTTGATCGACAACTCGATTGTTAAGTCTAATCGTTATTGAATTGACAGAGGGACGGTAAGGTCGGTAGATGCAGACCATGGGCTTTAAAGATATGGATGAACAGCGAACGTGGGAGATGACGATCGCGGTGTCTGGACGCGTGTGTGGTGAATGGTTGCATTGTATGATACGTGTCTCCGCCACCAGAGTCTGTCTAGCCGTCAATCGTATTTGGTCGAATCGAGCTCAATAGGTTTGCTGGTGTTTAGTTAGATGATAAGCTTATTCTCTTGGAAACTGCGATGACCAGAAAGATTCTGATTTTTTTTGACGTTAATATTTGATCGGATACATGAGACCACTCATGTGGCCGACATATATCCGGATATGCTACAAGCAAATTCATATCTCCAACGGCTACGAGATCTTAAATTTCCTTCTTTTAACAGCCAAAAAGTAATTAAAATGCAATTGGAAATTCAAAGATGTTATGGATTTTCAGTTAATATAAAGTTTAGGGCATTCACTGTACAATTAAATGGTGTAACGAGTGATGTAACCTCCCAACACCGCTACCAAACACCCTAAACAAACCCAAACAATCACATAACTAAGGGTTTTCAAGATTACTACTTGCATAAATATAATATTAACATTCCCATTTATTCAAACATTATACAAGAGTTTTTTTTAAACAACTCTAACTTATCATATTTAATGGTGTTTATCAGCAAGCTATAAGGTTTTTTGTGTTTTAATTATTAAAATAATATATTTAATATCTATTATATTGGAAGTTTTTATGTACACAATATTATTATTATTATTATTATTATTATTATTATACTGCATAGAAACATATATGACATCATAGAAAATAGTTATTTCGTATCAATCAGCACATTCAGTTAGATTTCTAATCAAACAACATAATTTCTTATTCAGTTAGAATTTCTTACACACAGATCTTTCTTATTCAACACTTTCTCAGTCAGCAACTATCAAACGGGATCTTATTAGTTTGTATATGTTGTTGAATGTAGACCAATTATCATTTTAAGCTCACAACTTTTGAATATGTTGTATAAAATACTTTAACTGTTAATTTAAGGGTTTAAGTCATTTTTGGTCACTTAACTTTTGGTTTTGTACTCATCTGTCACTTAACTCTTTTTATGTTTTAAAAAGTCATCAAAATTTTAGCTTTGTGCTCATTTAGTCACTTAACTTTTGGCTTGGTCACATTTAGTCACCTAACATTTTAATTGTGCTTATTTAATCACTAAACTTTTAAATTTTTTTCAAAAGTTTAGTGACTAAATGAGCACAATTATAAAAGTTAGGTGACTAAATGAGCACAAATCTAAAAGATAAGTGACCAAAACAAAAGTTAAGTGACTAAATAAGCACAAAGTCAAAACTTTGATAACCTTTTAAACTTAAAGATAGTTAAGTAACCAAATGAGCACAAAACTAAAAGTTAAGTGACAAAAAATGACCTAAACCCTTAATTTAAATATAACGTTAAAATATTAATTTAAATGGAAATTTCAATTAAAGATAAAAGAAAATTCAAAAATTATTTTGTAAATACTTAAAAGTCATAAACTATAATGTTAAATATAGAACCTACATTTATTTTGTAAATAGGTAAAAATCATAAATTATAATGTTAAATGAAAATCTAAATTTTAATGCCAAATTAACTAAAAAAAATTCCTAAAACATTATTTTAAATATTAAAAGCTTTCAAATAAATAGTTCAAAGCTAACAATGTTATTAAATATCTATACAGATTTTAACTATATAGTTGTTTATACACAATGTACAGATATTAGCTTAACATAAAAATATAATATTTATTAACACTTTTTAAATAAAAATGTTTTTCCATATTCCTAAAATTATGCCTCTATTTATTAAACGTGAATTTTTAAAACATCTTAAATCAGTTTATCCCATTATTATCTTCTAATCATCTAACCTACTATAAGACTATGAGTTCTTTTTTTTTCCAACCTTTTTTAATTGTATTAATCACTTATAAATAAATATCTTCCTCCTATTTATTAAACGTGAATTTTAAGAAATAAATGCGAATTTCCATTTTACAACCAAGGCACAATCTGTCAAAAATTTATATTATATAACATTTAATAACTATATATTTCTTTTAATATACATATAATATAACGGTATCAGATGGTGTCCTTCCTCTTTGAGGTCTAGGGTTCAAATCTCGTTGTGAATATAAGTGGAATAGGTGTTGTTACCTTACGAGTAGATTATATTTGCCGGTTCATATATATATATATATATATATATATATATATATATATATATATATATATAATACAAAAAAATTTAAGAAATAAACGTTGAATTGTTATTTTACACTTCCATCATACAAATTCAAAATTTTTAACATGTTAACAGGGGTAGACCTAGGGGTGGTCCACGGTGGTACCGATAACCTTAAATTTTCCGGCTGCAATGGAAAAAAATTTGAAAATTTTCGAGATTTTTATTTTTTCTACTATCATACAACCTCTAACTCTCCCAGACAACCCCTACTGTAAAATCTTGAGTTGGTCCCTGTATGTTAACATTATAAATATAAAAACCCTAAATTTTACTTTGTAAATTCTACATTCTACGAAATTAATTCTTTTATATATATATATATATATATATATATATATATATATATATATATATATATATATATATATATATATATATATATATTTCTGTTATACTTATATTACAATATTTGTTAGGGTGCTGCTAATAAGACTTCCCTTAGACACCCTATAATCATTTTTATAAAAAGTCAACCTATAATCAACTACTTGTAATCAGCTTTTTCGAAAAATAATGCAATTTCAACGAATAAAAATATTCTAAACATTAATTAGGGTTGTCTAAATGGTAAAATGGGGTGTCTTTTTAGCCAACCCCTATTTGTTATTGTTTAAATATTTCAACATATGATAGTGATAAGCCTGACACCTCGTTAAGGAAAACATCATTATATTTCTTAACAAAATCCACATCAGAGTGACCCACTATCTTTCTTGAGCTCTCCACTACATGAGCCAAGAAGATCTCGCACAAGTTCACTAGACACTAATGTGGTTTCCACTGAGAAATGACAGGAGTAGACCTTAGAGTTTTCTCCTTGTGAACATAGACATCTCCTCCCTTAATAAGCGGAATTCGCACATGTTTTAGCGTAGAAAATTTCGGGCCAATTAGTGAAAATCCAGTCCATACCAAATAGAACATCGGCTAACTTGATCTGAGTCAAGTCAAGGGAAAAGTGTGTCCCCTAATCATAGGGAAACACCCATCGAACTTTTCCAGAACAAGAACGAAATTCCCTAACGTTATATCAGTAACTAACTAAAAAACAAGCACATAAGGCAATGACACAAATTGTCAAACATACATACAACTGTTCCAACTTTGAGTACCGTCCACCAGGTCCTCGAATTTCCTTGTGGTTCCCTTGTCCCAAATATATATATATATATATATATATATATATATATATATATATATATATATATATATATATATATATATATATATATCCTCGAATTTCCTTGTGGTTCCCTCGTCCCAAATATATATATATATATATATATATATATATATATATATATATATATATATATATATATATATATATATATATATATAGGGTTACGACCTAATTTTGTGAGACCATGAGACGCATTTTTTTTTAAAAAAAATTTTTTTAATTTTTTTTAGTTAATTCAAGCTCCGAAAATAATATTTTAAAAAAAAAAGAATTTTTTGATTTTTCCATTTATTTTGCATTTTAAAATTAATTTTAGAATATGTACAGTGTAATATTTTATTTACAATATTTCACGTATTTTTAAAAAAAAATAGGATTTTTTTTAGTTAATTCAAGTTCTGAAAATAATATTTAAAAAAAGAATTTTTAGATTTTTCTATTTATTTTGCATTTTAAAATTATTTTTACAATATGTCAGTGTAATATTCTATTTAGAATATTTCACGTATTTTTAAAAAAAACGAGATTTTTTTTAATTTTTTTTAATTTTTTTTAGTTAATTCAAGTTCCGAAAATAATATTTAAATTTTTTTTTTTTTTTATTTTTCCATTTATTTTGCATTTTAAAATTATTTTTAGATTTGGTTTCATAGTCTCACAAAATTAGAATGGTCTCAAATGAACCTGAATCTATATATATATATATATATATATATATATATATATATATATATATATATATATATATATATATATATATATATATATATATATATATATATATATATATAGAGAGAGAGAGAGAGAGAGAGAAAGAAGAGGGTTCAAGTGAGAAAAAAAAAAGGTTGAGAATGGGGGAATCATTCTCTACCACTCATTTATTTTTGTCGCAAGAGTCTCCGTCGTACCAGCGGAAATGGAAAAGGAATAGACATGTGTTTTCCAACAAAACATGTTTCCTTAATCTATGCTAAGCATTACCTAAATATATATAAAAACATAGTTTTTTTTTTTGTTTTTTTTAATTTTTAAGAAGTTATTTTTATCGAAAAATGATTTTTAAATATACCAAAATTCATAATTTTTTATTCTCTACAAATAGACATCCATATTGATATAGTTTTAAGATAAAATAAAAAAATAAATTACTTTTTTTATATTTTCAGTTATTGTTATTCATAAGTAAATAAAAATGAATCAGATTTTTACTACAGTACATTTATTATTCACTTATGAATAAAAACTATGATTAATTTTTTTTACAATTTAGGTATCATTTATATATGAATATAGCATATAATAAACATAGTATATTCATATTTAAATATTAGACGATGCATTCACTTGTGAATATTACATAGTTTATTCACTTGTGAATATTAGATGATATATTCAGTTATGAATATTATATAATATTTTAATATCTGAATATTACGTAGTATTACATGGTATATCACATGTGAATATTA